CCTGAGGGATTCTGAAAACCCTGATGGGTTCTGAAGATTATGAGGGGTCCTGAGGGATACTGGAGGATTCTGAAGGATTCTGAAAGATTCTGACGGGTGCTGAAGATTCTGATGGATTATGAAGGATTCTGAAGGACCCGGAGAGATCGTTTTGGATTCCGATGGATTCTAGCGATCCTGCGGGATTCCCAAGGATTCTGAGGAACCTGACGGATTCTTCGGGTTTCTGAGGACCCTGAAGGACTCTGAAGGATTCTGAGGATCCTAAGGGATTGCAGAAGGATTCTGATGATTCTGACGGATTATGAAGGATTCTCAGGGGTCCTGAGGGATTCTGAAGATCCTGATGGGTTGTGAAAGATTCTGAGGATCCTCGGGGATTCTGAAGGGTTCTCATGGGTCCTGAGGGGCTCTAAGGATTCTGAAGGATTCTGACGGACTCTGAAGATTCTGATGGGTTCTCAAGGATCCTGATGGGGTTATGAGGATTATGAGGGACTCTGGCGGATACTGAAGATCCTGAAGGGTTCAGAGGATTCTGAGGGATTCTCAGGATCCGCAAGGAACCTGAGGGATTATCAAGGATCCGGAGGGATTCTGAAGGATCCTGACGGATTCTGGGTTCTGATGGATCCTGAGGATCCTGAGGGGTTGTGATCGAGGGATCTTCAGGATCCTAAAAAAGGATCCGGAGGGACTCTGAGGATCCTGAAAGATTCTGGAGGGTTCTGAACGATTGTGAGGATTCTGAAGGAGTCTGAGGATCCTGAGGGATTCTGAGGATCCTCAGGTATCGTGGGGGATCCTCCAGGGTCCTGAGGGCTTCGGAAGGATCCCGAGGGACTCTGAGGATGCCGAGGGATTCTGAAGGATCCTGAGCCCTGACCCCCTGGGGCCTGATCCCTGGGCCCTGAGCCCAAGGCCCCGTGTCCTAGCCCTCAGCCTTGGGCTCTACGTTACGAACCGTGAGCCCTGAACCCTCCGCCCGGGGGGGGGGCCCTGCGGGGGCCGATGGCCCCCGCAGGGGGCCTTACTTGTTTCTATCATTTTTTTGTTTTTTAATAATAAAAAAAAAAAACGTCCGGCGTCTTGAATCCCGGACCCGGCTAAAGATACACCCGCCACAACGGGGGGGCTCACTTTTTCGGTCAGCGGCGGTAGGATCAACCGCACCGTGGTCGGAGCGGCGGCCAGGTTGTGGAGACACAAGTTTCGCACACAGAGAACCGGGGGAGTTTAAACGTGTGTGCAAGTTAATGGGTGAAAGCACGATGCGTAGGATGCCGAGACAGCGTCACATACGCTGGCACAAGCACCGTGAACATGTACGCACGCACGCGACTCAAACCCATTCTCAATGGCAACACTAGCTGTGCGTCCGTCGAGCACCCGCCAATGTGTTCATGATGTTGGTGGCCTGCTCGTTCAAAGTGTGCAAGGCGGTGCCCTTCTTGAGCGCCTTCATTCCTCCAAGCCCGACGACCGTCCAAGTAAAAGATTGGACGAACCGTGCCAACTTGTCCCTGCCCTCCGACTTGCTGAGAGGTTTGTTGAAAGTCGCGACGCTCAACTGATCAAGATTTGCCATGGCGCTCATCGACAAGGTGCCGGCAATGTGCAGACGCTGCACGACTCTTTTGAGGACACCGATTGTATACCGACACCGATCCTGGACACAGGACCGACCCGTGCAGGACCTGTGCAGGTATATGGTCGGCGTCCTCCGACGTTGAGAGAAGATAGAGGATGAGCCGAAACGACGTGGCCGAAGCAAGGTGCGGCGGAGCTCCGCCAGCCGAAGAACTGGCAGCAATCAACACGCGCGAACAAACATAGGCTCAGGGCCTTCGACTTGCCAAGCTTGCCAACCAGCGGGTCCCATGAAGTCTCGGCCCCTCCCCCCGGCGGGCGCTTCTCCTCCCCCCACGTGCCCTCTGGGGCCCAGGCTGAAACAAATCGCTCGATCCTCGATGCGCGTCCCGCAGGCTGCGGGCAAGATTTGTGTCCATATCCCGTGAATCTTGCACCTTCTTGGAAGGGACGACACGCGGCCGAGGCAAGCTGGACATGCACGAAGGCCGAGGCCCTGTGGGGCCGAACACTTCTCTCCGTGTCCCGTGCGCCTCGGGCTTCTGGGGACGGGAGCCCGAAACTCCGAGCTGTAGCGCATGCACGGCAGGTTCGTGTCGTGTCGACCCCGGCGTTGGTTTTTGACACCGCAGGGATCGTTCAACCTTGAACGATCGGCCGCTGCCGCAACGTCCGATCGTTCAACATCGATCGATCTGAGTCGCCGGCGGCGTGCAACCTGGAACGTCCGCGCTGGGGTCGCCGCTGGTCGACACGACGCAGACCTACCGTATGGACACAAGTCTTGCCCGCAGGAGGGGGAAGCGGAGGCAGGGGGCGGGGGGGGGGGGGACCAGACGGCACGGCGAGCGTGGCCGGGCAAGGCGCGGCACCCTCGTTGCCGCACACGTCGGCGACGCCCCCCGCGAGGAGCTCCCGCACCTGGTCGGCGCCCCGCCCCCCCATGGCTCCCTCGAGGTCGGCCGGACGTGCGACGGCCTGGCTGTTTGCTTCCATCGTTGCAGCCCTCTGTGGGCCCCCTGCGGCCATCAAAGATAAGCCCACTGGACATACAACGGCCTCCGCGGGAAGTGGTCGGGATCCCTGGGGCCGCGGACACGATCCCATCGCCAGATGTCTGGGAGCGCGCCACGGGGTCACCGTGGCGACCAGATGGGTCACATGCCGTTCGTTTTCAGGGTTCCACTGTCAGATTGTGGCTCTCGCCTTGGCGCCGCGCGCATTCCTTCTGAGATGCTGCAGCGAGTTCAAGGCTGCAGGAGGGGTCGTCTTCCAAATGGGCCTCTCGTGCCAGCGCCGCGCACATTCGGCTCAGGAGCCTGCAGCAGTTCCAGGAAGGGCTGGCGGATCGGCTCCAAAAGGGAGCTCTCGCCCCAACGCCGCACGCGCTCGTCATCATACAAGGTCCCCACCGGCGCCAGGCATGGGGCGGCTCATGCTCCAAGCCGGGCAGCCGCCCTCGCGCCATGCCTGACGCGATCCAGCCCAAGGAATCAGCTGCACAGGATGGAGACCGGGGAGCTCTCACAAAACGGGGGTCCCGCTCCCGCGCGGCGCACATTCGCGTGCAGAGCTCGCAGCAATAGTACAAGGGCACGTCGAGAAGACGTTCGGCACTGCGCGGATCGAGGGCGGCCCCTTCTCAGGAAGGAAGCTCTCGCTTGGAAAACAGCTCCCCTGGAAGCGCATGACCAGGCTTGTGAGATGCACCGTTTTCCCAAGCATGGCACAGCGAAAGCATGGCAATCATTGCACTTGGAACCTGCGCGCAGCTCACGACCATGATGGGCTGGCTGCGGCGGCCCTTCTGGAAGGGGGACCTCGCTGGACACGCCACGGAACGCTGTGATGCATGCCCATCGTCTGCCGCTGTCCTGCTGGCGCGCCAGAGGGACGCCAGGCAATCCCTTGTCAAAACCAGGCCCTCGCCGAATTGGCAACCCCCTATAGGGGGCTGGTCCCTCAGAGGGGGGACGCGTCGTGCCGTGCACAAGGAAAGCCGACAGGGAAGCATGCGGAGGGGACTCTGGACGGGAGGGTGTATTGCAGCATCGCTGGTGCAACATGGGCTTACTCTGGCTCTCCCTCGCCTCCTCTGCCTCCCTCCTTCTCCCTCCTGATCCTCTCCCTCCCTGCCGACGGCCACCCCCAGCGCTCTGGACCGCTCCCCAGCCAGGCGTTCGTCCCCGGCAATTGCCATGGCCCCTCCTGGCCCGAAGCGGGCTTCCCGATCCCCAAGAGCAGTGAAAAGCGCCCGAGGACACGACGACGACCACCGACGGCGCGACCCCCTTGGGCTCTCCCTGGGTGCCTCCGGCCAGAACCCAAGGGGGGAGCCCGGCCGCCGCGAAAGGCCAGAAAGCACCCGCCCGGAAGTCTGGGCCAGAGCCCGGGGACCTCGCCTGCGAGGCGGGGCCTCTGCATGATCGCCGCCGCAGTCGTCGATCGAGGGCCGATCCGAGGCGGGGACTTCCCATCCCACGACCACCGCCCCATATGGGGACCGATCCTCGGGGACCTCGGCGGGCGGTGGACACGGATAGGTTAGGCCCCCCGACGGGCCCGAGTCCACCTCCACACACGCCGCCCGCCGAGGCCCCCGAGGACCGGTCCCCATGGGGTGGTGGTCGTGGGACAGGAAGTCCCCGCCTCGGATCGGCCCTCGATCGACGACTGCGGCGACGGCGACGCGCAGACGGCGGTGGCGACTGACTCCGACGCCGACGGCGGCGGCGACGGAGAGCCCTCGGCCCTCGAACCCCAACCCCCGATCCTCGGAGCCCCCATCCTCCACCCCCGACCCGTCGACCCTCATCGGCCCCCGATCCAGCCTAAGCCCCGATGCTGGGTGCCCCCGGCCCTCCACCCCCGACCCGTCGAGCCCCCATCGCCGGGCCCCCAGTCCATCCTGAGCCCCGATGCTGGGGGGCCCCGGCCCCCCGACCCCGACCCATCGAGCCCCCATCGCCGGGCCCCCAGTCCATCCTGAGCCCCGTTGCTGGGGGGCCCCGGCCCTCCGACCCCGACGCATCGGGCCCCCGACCCCCGAAGCTCCGGTCCCGTGAGCCCCCGACCCGCCCCCCCCCCCGACGACGCAGGACCATCCTTCTCGGCCCCTCCTCCTTCCTCGACCCTCCTCGACCCTTCGACCCTCCTTCCTCGACCCTCCTTCCTCGACCTCTCCTTCCTCGACCCTCCTCGACCCCTCCTCCTTCCTCGACCCTCCTTCCTCGACCTCTCCTCGACCCTCGAAACCCGCATCGACGACGACGCCGACGGCGGCGGCGGCCGAGGGCCCCCCGCCTCGTCGGGGCAGCGGCCGCCTTTCGCGGGGTCCCCCCACACCACGGCGGGGCCGGCGAGCCGGAACGCCGCGAAGGCCCCGCTGGTGGCGCGCAGCTCGCGGACACCTCTGCGAGGAGGCCCGGGCCTCTGGAGGGGCCGAGGTTTCTGAATTCCGACAGTGGTCTTAGGCCGGGCATGTCCTCCTACAGGGAAATTATGAAAAGAAAATGTTGCTTATCTAGCAAACCCAACCGTCTGCAGTTGTGGATACCGCAATTGCGGAGATCGTCTTCTGTGGAGCTCCCTCTGGGGCCACGGAGCGCTGTACTGGGTGCGGGAGTCGCATGCGAACTGCGCCACTGGGACCTTCGGTGGAGCTCCCTCCTGGGGCAAAGAAGCGTTGTCCTGGGTGGGGGAGACGCATGCGAACTGCGCCGCTGGGACCTTCGGTGGAGCTCCCTGTGGGGCCACGAAACGCTGTACTGGGTGGGGGAGACGCATGCGAACTGCGCCACTGGGACCTTCGGTGAAGGTCCCCATGGGGCCACGGAGCGCTGTACTGGGCGGGGGAGACGCATGCGAACTGCGCCACTGGAACCTTCGGTGGAGCTCCCTCTGGGGCCACGGAGCGCTGTACTGGGCGCGGGAGACGCATGCGAACTGCGCCACTGGGACCTTCGGTGGAGCTCCCTCTGGGGCAACGGAGCGCTGTACCGGGCGGGGGGGCACATGCGAACTGCGCCGCTGGGACCTTCGGTGGAGCTCCCTTTGGAGCCACGAAGCGCTGTCCTGGGTGAGGGAGACGCATGCGAACTGCGCCACTGGAACCTTCGGTGGAGCTCCCTCTGGGGCCACGGAGCGCTGTACTGGGTGGGGGAGACGCATGCGAACTACGCCACTGGGACCTTCGGTGGCGCTCCCTCTGGGGCCACGAAGCGCTGTACCGGGTGGGAGAAACGCGTACGAACTGCGAAACTGGAGCCTTCGGTGGAGTTCCCCATGGGGCCACGAAGCGCTGTCCTGGGTGAGGGAGACGCATGCGAACTGCGCCACTGGAACCTTCGGTGGAGCTCCCCATGGGGCCATGGAGCGCTGTACTGGGCGAGGGAGACGCATGCGAACTACGCCACTGCGACCTTGGATGGGCCTCCCTATGTGGCATGAAGCGCTGTGCTGGGCGGGAAAGACGCGTACCAACTGCGCCACTGGGACCTTCGGTGGAGCTCCCTCCTGGGGCACAGAAGCGTTGTCCCGGGTGGGGGAGACGCATGCGAACTGCGCCGCTGGGACCTTCGGTGGAGCTCCCTGTGGGGCCACGAAACGCTGTACTGGGTGGTGCAAACGCATGCGAACTACGCCACTGGGACCTTCGGTGGCGCTCCCTCTGGGGCCACGAAGCGGTGTACCGGGTGGGAGAAACGCGTACGAACTGCGCCAATGGGAGCTTCGGTGGAGCTCCCTGTGTGGCCATGAAGCGCTGTGCTGGGCGGGGGAGGCGCATGCGAACTGCGCCACGGGAGCTTTCGGTGGAGCTCCCCATGGGGCCGAGCTCCCCATGGGGCCATGGAGCGCTGTACTGGGCGGGGGAAACGCGTGCGAACTACGCCACTGGGACCTTGGGTGGAGCTCCCTATGTGGCACGGAACGCTCTAGTGGGCGGGAGAAACGCGTACGAACTGCGCCACTGGGACCTTCGGTGGACCTCCCCATGGGGCCACGAAGCGCTGTACTGGGTGGGGGAAACGCATGCGAACTACGCAACTGGGACCTTCGGTGGCGCTCCCTCTGGGGCCACGAAGCACTTTACCGGGTGGGGGAAACGCATGCGAACTGCGTCACTGGGACCTTCGGTGGAGCTCCCTATGTGGCCATATTGTTGTTTTTTTGCTGGGGTGGTGGTGCTGACACCCCCGCCCTCCCTATCAAAGAACAACAAGACCACGTGCTCGCGGGCCTCCCGGACATGACTCAAGACTCTGCCCAGAGTGTATGTTGTACTGTTGGGTTGACAAGGGGGAGGATCGGGCTGGTTGCGCGTGCTCTGAAGCGCTGTGCTGGGCGGGGGAGACGCATGCGAACTGCGCCACTGGAAATTTCAGTGGAGCTCCCTATGGGGCCACGAAGCGCTGTACTGAGCGGAAGAGACGCATGCGCACTGCGCCACTGGGACCTTCCGTGGGGCTCCCTACGGGGCCACGAAAAGCTGCACTGGGATGGGGGAGACGCATGCGAACTGCGCCACTGGAGCATTCGGTGGAACTCCCTATGGAGCCACGAAGCGTGTGAGGAGGGGGAGGAGGAGAGGAGGGGGAGGAGGAATAGGGAATAGGAGTAAGAGGATAGGATTGGATAGGATAGGATAGGACTCGGACTTGCGCGTGTGCTGTGATGACGCAGCTATGCACGTGGTGCGAGGCGCGCGCAGAACAGCAACCTCGAACGATCGCATATCTACTATACGAGGTTACGGGTTACGCGCGCAGTGCAGCACAAGACACGTGTGCATCGGGGCTGTACGCAATATTCAATGTCACGCGCGGGCTGGGGGTGACACCCCTCTGGCCCCATGGGGGCCGAAACCTCGCGGCACTGGGTGTGCCAAGCAGGCCCCCGAGGCACCCGCCCAGCCCCGGACAGAAAAGTTAAAGAAAAATTTTCAGAGCCCAGGACCGCCTGCACTGACTCCAAAGCAAGGCGCACCCGCCTTGTCGGGCGAGGCGGGCAGGCGCCTCAAGTATGAGGTACGTCTTCAACTGCATAGCGAATTCGCACACGGCCACTACCATGCCCACCCCGACGCAGAGGGTCCAGAACAAGGGGTTACACTCTGGGAGCCGGGACTGGGTCTCAGTGGAGGTCATATGGACGCTATCTGAGTCCGCAACAGCTAACCAATGGACGGCATGAGTACACATATCCCATTAACTGAAATGCATCTGGGTCGAGGCGTCCAGCGAAAACACACCGGCGACTTGAACCTAGGCTGCGCGTAGGATTTGAGGCGCCCAGCGAAAACATCATGGCGACTTGAACCTAGGCAGAGCCTAGGACTTGAGCGTCCAGCGAAAGCAATGGCGAATTGAACCTAAGCCAAGCATGAGATTTGGAGGCCTCCTCGTTTGCCATTACGCAGGCCTTGAACGCCGCCAGTCGTGTCTGCCATCCCTCTGTAGTCACATCTGCTGCTTGGCCCTGCCTTTTCCGCCGAGCTTGTGTTTGTCCAACATCTTCTGTGCAAGGTTCTCGAGCTGGCCCTGCGGCGCCGTTCCCTGCTTGAGAGTTCCGCCAATGCCCCTGAGCAACACGACTGTCGCATTCTCGATCATCAGCTTGGAGTAGGTCGTCGGTTCGCCGCTGCCGCTTGGGAGCGAGACACCATCCACGATGGCGAACTGGAAGCGGGTCATATCTTCATTGCAGCACTTCTTGCAGCGAAAATGACGGATCGATAAGCCTAGCTCCGGCATCTGTCCGTTCTGCATGGACTTGTTGTAGAACATGCGTACTGCATCCAGAGCTCCCCCCCCCGGTCTTGAGACTCGATTCGCCTCCACTAAGCACTTGCGCCCTGCGCGCGCTATGCGCAAGCGTGGCAAACCCAACTTGTCCGTCGCGGGGGGGGGCCCAGCTGCCTCGGCACAGAGTTTGCCAGCTGCCCTGGAAGCCACGGATGTGGTCGGGAGAATCACGCCCACCCAAACCACTGCAGCCAGGTCTCGGAGAAGTTGAGAGTGCATGCGCAAACCTTTTAGGGGGAGGCTCAGCGCCGCTGCAGTGTCTTTTCCTCGGAGCGCACCTTCCACTTGGTTCAGCGTGTCCTCTGCGTCCTCCGGTGCCTCTGCAACTCTGCGGCCCTTGGGACCGCGCGCCCCTTCTTCCCCGCCAGGTGCCTCCTCTCGTTTCCCGATCTCGACCGGGGCCCTGAGGCCCAGCAGGTCGTCGTTCGAGCCCGCCGATCCCGTCGCCACGTCGCCCCCGATGTCTAACTTCAGGCTGCGGGAGTGATCAATGAGTGCGAAAGTGTACCTGTAGGTCGCATAAACTTTGGGCCCAATGAGGCACAGAAATTCACTGGGAAACTCGACATCTTGTGCCAAGAAAGAGCTCCTGCCACGGCTGCGCACATTGCGTTTAAACGACCTCATTACGTGTCTCTCCGCGTTCTCGTTTGTGCTCAAAACCTGCAACCAAAAGCATTGGTTGGTCACCGTCAGCAGCGCTGCCTCATTGCGGACACGGCGCGCCCGTCCAGCGCGGAGGAAGAGCGCCTTCATGGTGCGGAACTGCGCGTTACACTTGGCGCCCGTGTTGAGCGCCATGTTGCAGACGAACTGGCCCGCGGGGGCCGTCTCCTCCCCCGCCTCGGGGGCCCCCGGAGCCTCTGGATGGTGTTCGGGAGGGGCGAACGTCTGAGAGAATGCAGCAGCCCGCAGGACCGAGAAGCCCAGGAAGGCCCAGTCCCTAAACTCGCCGTCGTAAAGCAACTTCAACATGGGGTACCCATTGAAGACTAGCTCGTAGAGGTCCTCGCAGTGTTCGTGAGCATACCTTAGGTCCTCCAGGAGCTGCCGAGCCCAGGGGTTAGCTTTGGGGTGGAGGGCCCAGTCATCGCTGATCGTGTCGAAGCCCCCCATGGCCCCCATGATGTAAGATCTGACCTGACGGTGTGCCTCTGGAAAGCGCACCCAGCTCTGAAGCCAACCGAGACGACGTATTCTGAGCCCCATCCGAGGTCGGCAGAATCTCGCAGTACTCCCAAGCGTTTTCTGATGGCCATGATCGGACCTTCTGCTCGCCCCCCCCTGGCGCCCCCCTGGAGGCCCAAACCCCTGCGCACGGCTAGCAGTAGAACACGGTCCGCCTGCTCGCAGAAGGAGACGTGGGGAACGCGTGCCTCCATGCCAGAGAGGAGGGCCAACTGGGCGAACGCGATGATCGACATTCTCCTGGTGGCTCTGGCGGCTGGCTTCATCCGGAAACAAGAGATGAGCCCCAGACCGCGCTGGCCCGCCTGGATGCGCTCCGTCTTTTCCACGGCCAGGGGCCCCGTCGACGTCCGCCAGCCTCCTAGGATTCTGATGCGACGGCCCCGACTTCCAGAGACAGCAAGAACCCTGCTGTGCCA